TGCCTCTCAAACATCATTTTTAGCCCTATGATTGTCAGCCATATATTTTTCATTATTTTATGATTAAAAAAAAAAAAAGTCTTTAGAGAATTCAAGGAAACTACCAGATGGTTTTATCCCAAGTAGAGAAGACAAACTTCCCAAGAAGATAGACTTCTATCCCAAGTAGAGAAGACAAACTTCCCAAGAAGATAAAGTTTAAAGAATTGGGCAACAAAGTGTCATTTTTAAACCTGTCATGTAGATTATCCTAATTTAATATTTTCATTATTAATTTCATAATTCCATGTCTAATGTTCAATTGCTTAGAGTCACGCCTCCATATAAATGTTAGTAAATGAGACAGAGAAAGAGAGTGGTAGGATTCTCAGAGGGGATACATGACAACATGATCCAAATTTTTAGATTGTTGGTTAAAGTCAGAAGGCATTTTAAGGGTACTTTAATTCAACTGCCTACTTTTGGAATCTTTTTTTTTTTTTTTTTTCTTTTACAATAAATCACCATAGAACTTTCTGAATTTGCTTAACTATTTCTGGAGAAGGTAGCTCATTACTTCCTGGGACAGCTAGTTCACAGAACCACATAATCTTGAGAATAACTGTATTATAAACTCCATCTCAATATAGGAATCTTCCCAATAATAGATGATACTGAATGCTGAATAATTTAAGATACAATAAAACACTTTCAATTGGTTTTAGACAATTAAATATTCATCTTAAGGTAACCACTAATGAGCATTTATTATATTACTCTAAGTAATTACTAATAAATTCACTAACTTGTAGGTATAATTCAGGTACAATCTTTCCATGTACTTTTGTTTCTTTTTTGAAATTCTAATTTTGAAATCTAATAGGGAAACACACAATTTAACAAATAATTATGAACAGAACATCCATGTAACTAACACTTAAGTCTAGAAATTAGTATCACTAGTACCCCAGAAGTCTCCTGTATGACATTTCCCAATCCAATAAGGCTCACCTTAGATATACAATCCTTACACTGAGTTTTATGGTCATCATATCCAAGCTTTTCTTTATAGTGTTATTGCCTATATAGTGTTATTGCCTATAGTTATAAACACTATAGTGTTTATAGTGTGTGCCTCTCTGAGCAATATAATTTTATATAATTTAATTTATAACTTATATATTATATATATAATTTGTATAACATTGAACATAATACCAAATAGTATATCAGTGTATAAATATACTATACTTCATTGACCTGTTGTTTATGGACATTTGAGTTGCTTTCTCTTTGGGGTAATTAATAAAGTTGTTATGAATGTTCTTGAACATGTATCCTGCAAACGTGTATATGTTTCACTGAAGTATATACCCTAGGAGTGGAATTGTTGGATAGTAAGATATGCATATGTTCAGCTTTAGTAATTACAGTGCTAAACAGTTTTCCAAGGTGACTTTACTACTGTACTCTCCCACCTGTTGTGTGTGAGCATTCCAATTGCTTCATATCCTTGCCCTTGTATGGATATCTCATTGTATTTCCCTTATGAATAATGAAGGTGGGCATTTTTTGAAGTTTATTAGTCATTTAGATATCATCTCTTGTAAGATACTTGTTTATGTCTTTGCTCCTTTTTAAATTGTCTTTTTTTATTTGTAGGATAAGTTTTTTTAATAGGATAAGTCATTAGAAAATTATTTGTACTGCAAGTATATTTGCTTATTTTGCCTTTTTTACTCCCTGAATGATATCTTATGATGAAGAGATGTTCCTAAATTTAATGTAGACCAGTTTATCAACTATTTTTTACGGTTAATATTTTTAAGAAAAGTGTCCTGCCTAATAAAACTCTGGTTACCAAAGATTATGAAGATATTCTTCTATGCTATCTTACAGAAATTCTGTTTTACCTTTTACATTTACAGCTATAATTTACAGGTGGGTTTTGTATATGTACGAGGCAGTCCATGTGGATATCCAGTTTTGGTTTCATATCATTTACTAAACAAACCTTCCCTACCAACTCTACAGAGCCAATGTTTGCACATATCAGGGCTTAATATATATGGGTCTGTTGGTAGATTCTCATTTTTCTCCCTTGTCTATCTGTCCATTCTTATATGAATACTGCAATCTCTTATGTACTATGGCTGTATAATATAGGTTTTTTTTTTTTTAATATCTGGCTATGTTACTGCTTCAGCTTTTCCCTTCTTATTGAATATTTGTCTTGACTATTCTTGATCCTTTGTATTTTGACATACATTTTGGTATATGCTTATCAATTTCTATAAAAAACATCCCAGGATTTTGACTGGAATTGCATTAGGTCTATACCATGGGGGAATTGATACTTTTCTAATATTGAATCTTCCAATTTATGAACATGGTATTTATAAGTTTATGTTGACTGATTGAGGTTTTCTTAATTTTAGTTTTAGGTCAGGTTCTCCTAGAAGCAGAACCTATGGCAGGGATTTGATGTCACGATTTATTGAGAGAGTACCGTAAAGGAGAAGCCTGCAAAGTCATTTGAATGAGGGTTGTAGGATAGGGAAGGGGAAAGAGCAGAACAAGATGTAACTTCAGGTAAAGTGTAGCTTTGGTCTAATCCACATGGGACTCTAAGCTGTGAATTAACAGGGGTGGTTGTTTCTGTTATCCCCAGGGTTAGAGGATAGGTTGGAGGAAGGTGACATAACCTTCTAGGGGTAATGGCTTTGGTTATCCAAGGCTAAGGAGAAGGGAGGCAGCCAGTGTTTATAGCAATTATTTTTTAGTCTTTTCAAAGAACCAACTTAGACTTTGTTGATTACCTATGCTGAATGTTTTCTATTTTATTAATTTCTGGTTTCACCTGAATTATTCCCTTTCTTCTGTTTTCTTTAGATTCAATTTATTATTTTAAAAGTTTCTAGGGATGCCTGGGTGGCTCAGTCGGTTTTAAGCACACAACTTTTGATTTTTGCTCATTCATGATCTCATGGTCATGGGATCAAGCCCTGTGTTAGGCCCACCCAGTGCAGAGACTCAAAACAAATAAACTTTAAACAAACTTTAAAAAGTTTCTAAGATGGTACTTGAATAATTTATTTCAGTATTTCCTCTTTTCTAATTTATTCATGAAGCCATACTCCACTGAAGCCACTCTTCAGCTGCATCCCACATTTTCAAATGTATTTTAATTATTATTCAGTTCAAAATATTTTATAATATTGTGACTTTCGGGGTGCCTGGGTGGCTCAGTCGGTTAAGCGTCCGACTTCAGCTCAGGTCACGATCTCATGGTCCGTGAGTTCGAGCCCCACGTCGGGCTCTGGGCTGATGGCTCAGAGCCTGGGGTCTGCTTCTGATTCTGTCTCCCTCTTTCTCTGCCCCTCCCCTGCTCATGCTCTGTCTCTTTGTCTCAAAAAAAAAAAAAAACCCAATATTGTGACTTTCTTGACCTATGGGTTATTCACAAGTATATTTTGTAATTTTGATACATTTGGGGATTTGGTTATGTTTGGCATTGGTATCTAGCTTAATTCTATCATGATCTGAGATTTCTCTCTGTACGATTTCAGTTTTTGAAATTTATTCAGACTTGCTTTATGTCCCAACATATGGCCAATTTTGGTATATGTTCCATATGCTTGTAAAGAATATGTTCCGTTTTGGGCGTAGTGTTCTATTTATGTCAATTAGGTCAAGATTACTCATGCTGTTCAATTCTTCTGTATTCTCCCTGATTTTTCTCACTGGTTGTTTTATTGGTTACCCGGGGAAGAGTATTACAATGTCTCATCATCATCATTGTGGAGCTATTTCTATTCTAGTTCTGTCAATCTTTGCTTTAGCTTTTTTAAGGGTATGTTATTAGGAACATACATCTAGTAATAATTTAATTTTATATCTTCCATGTGAAATTGATCCTTTTTTTATCATGAAATATTCCTTTTGTTGATTAATAATGCTTCTTGACTTAAAGTCAACTTTGTCCATGTCCGATATTAATACACCTTTGTTTTGAATAGTGTTTGCATGATGTATCATTTTCTATTCCTTGACTTTCAACGTTTCTGAATTCTTGTATTTAACATATATCTCGTTAGCAGCATATAGTGGGGTTTTGATTTCTTTTCCAGTACCACAACCCTTGTCTGTTAATTGTAGTAGTCTAGTTAACTTAATGTGGTTATGATATATTTAGGTTTAAATCTACTTTCTTACTATGTTCTTTTCTATTTGTGTCATCTGTTTCTATTTGTGTTCTTTTGTCTCTACTGTTTTGCTTTCCCTGACTTGCCTGCTGTGTCTCCAGGGGAAAAGTGGTGTTGAATGTCAGTTTCACCTCTCTGAGATTCCCTCCTCTCTGGGATCTAGACCACTCAAGACCTCACTGCCTTGGTAGGTCTCTGATATCTTCACAGAAAGGTTTTTAAAATATTTTTTTCCAGATTTTCTAGCTGTCTTGGGCAAAAGGCTTGGTTTGTAACAATTCTATTATTAGAAATGGGGAATCTCCTAATATTTTTAAGTTTGGAATTTAATTAAAAATGTCATATGACCTTAGTTTAATAGGTACATTTATGGTTTAGAAATGTAGGAGTTCTGTAGTATCATGTTGTCTTTAAGAACCACAGCTCTGGCATCAGACTTGCTGGCTTGATTTCCAGGGCTGTCGTGTAACAGCTGTATAATCTTGGACTAATTGCTTTTAAGGACTGAACACTTTATCTATAAAATGGGGGTAATAATAACCTATTCCAGATTCCTGTGATAACTAGATAAATTAACATATGAAAAGCATCTATAATAGTTCCCAGGACAAAGTAAGCACTGAGTGACCATTAACTATTTTTGTATCAGTGGAGTGCCTTTACTCTGAATATGACTGTTAAATAAGAACATGTAGGTGGCATGAGACATACAAATAGAGTGAAAGGCATGGGTCCTCACTCCCAAGAACTTCCTGTCTAGTTGGGGAGACAGGAAATTAATAGTGGGTATAAAACAATGACAGGGATTTCCATATGTCACTTTGGAATCAATTTCATTACTCAAAATAGGAAGGCAGCGTGACACGGTGGAAAAAACAGCATGGGCTATGGAGCCAGACAGATTTGGGTTGGAATTTGGCTTCTGCCACTAACCAATTATGACCTTGGTAAGTTATTTCCCTGCTCTGAGTTTTCCCATTTTTATATAATGGGGTTGATACTGCCTACACTTGTTTAGAAGATTAAATTAAGTAAGATAATCATTGCAAAGTACCCAGATGCTGGTGGGCACTCAACCAATGTGTGTTCCCCCCCTTCCCATGTTTTCTATTGCAAAGTAGATTAAGGTAAGTGCTAGTGTGGGATCCAGAACAATAATTTCAGGGAAGGACGAATTCAGGGAAGAGAAGGGTTTCGTGTGCAGGTATGGTCAGTGAAGGCCATAAGATAGGATCTAAGTTCCTTTCTTGAAGGTAAGGGAGAACAGTTAGCAAACACAGAGGGGAGGGGAGAATGTGAACCAAAGCACGTGGTGGAGTGGGGCAACTGTGTTATAAAATACCTGAGAGTCATATAAGGCTTCCATGAAATATCTTGCATACTTGTCATCCTTTTAAATCCTCATAGCAACTCTCTGAGTTTGGCATCACTGCCTCTACTTAGAGCTGAGTGAAATGGCGGCTCAGAGGCTTCCCCAGCTGTCACACACCCTATAAGAAGAGGAAATGGGACTCAATCCTACATCTTCTAACTCTAGGCAGACAGACTGGAATTGTGCAGCCTTTGGAATGAAAGATTGTGGCCAGATGTGGATGGGCTTGCAGTCAAGATAGAAGTTCCTTGTTTTAAGTAGCTTGTGTGGTAATGCCAAAGCTTTGTGACAGTACGTTTTGCATAACTGGTCTTTTAAGGATATTTATTTGGTGGCATTCCAGAAGACAGGAGGCAGGAAGACCAATTAGGGGCCCATCACTGTAGTCTGGGCTAGAAGGGATGGTGTGACCGCTGAGTCTCAAGAGTCTAAGTCTCCTTACCTCTGGCTGGTAAGGAATAGTGGGAGTAGATTGACTTGGGCCTGCTTTCTTTTTATGCCTTTGGGCTTTGAGATGAACTGCTGAAGGGCTTCTCTTACTGAATTTCCCTCAGAGGAGTCCTGATCCCAGGGGTGGCAGAATCAGATGACAAACACAAAAGAAAACAAAACAAGAAATCTTGCCCTTAGTTATGGGTAAGAGGAGGGAAAAGGAAGAAGGGACATGAGAGGGTGTATTAGGATCTCCAGGTTGCACCTAAATGCAAATCACTTGCCATGAGACCATGCAAGAAATGCAAGCCAAACAAATCCCATGAAAACATGGAAGTTTCCTGAAAACAGCAGGCCTACACCAAAATTGTGAAGCAGACGTTTGTCTGTACTGGACCCAGCGTACCTATTCTGTACCACTTTCTCTACAGTGACGGGAATTATTTTTTAAAATCAGGAAACCACATTTTTTTAAGTTCATTATATTTAGAAAGATGCTGTTCTCTATCACTACAGTTCATAGCAAGAGACTACAGTAAATGATTTATGCTAGCTGGCAACTCTAATTTCTCCATACCATAAAGGGGCAGTGATATGCATAACCTAAAAATTGCTTCTACAGTGAATATCCTTCTTTTCTTTTTTAAACTGTGAAGCAGTTGTTTGTCTTTCCTGGCCCCAGCCTCCCTATGCTGTACTCATCTCCTTCCTTTGGCAACGCCCCATTTATTACATTGCTCTTTCCTCCCCACTCCCTCGTAGGCACAATGGAGGAATACATGTGATACTTTTCTGGCCTTTTCTCTTAGCAAATCTATTCCAAGGAATAAAATCTGAATGAAATTCAAGTCACACTAAGATGAAAATGACAGATAATAGCTTACCGTTTACGCCAGGGATATTTGCACAGTAGATTCATTCCATCTTTAGCAAGTAGGTACCGAGCATCTGCTAGGTACCGGGAACTTTTCTAGGTTCTGGGAATACCACCAGTTGGAAGAAAATGGTGGCCTGACCTCCTAGGAAGTATATATACTTGCTGGAGAGACAGAGAGAAGGCAAGTACACAATAAGCTGATTCTCAGGAGTGAGTAGTGCTGTGACAGGGAGTGACTGGGTGGTGGGGAAGCAGGGGGTAGGGAAAACCTCTCTTAACTATCATCTGAGGTGAGACTTGCATGATAAGGGGCTGTCATGGGAAAATCTGGAGGTCTTGAGTTGAGGGAAAAGATAGGCAGGGGTCCTGAGATGGGCTCAAGCCTGATATATTCCAGGAACGGAAGGCAGCAGGGCCTGAGGGTGGACAGGAGTGGGCTTAGTGAGAGGGCAGAGACACAGCAGCCACATTCCGTAGAGCCTCGAAGGCCAAGGTAGTGCCTTTCGAAAATGTGAAACAAAAGAGTGATATGACACAAACTGCACATGAAAACTACCACCTTGGCTTCCCCATGGGAAGTGGATTATAGCAGCCTGAGGCTAGAAGCAGGGAGCCACAAGTGACTGCTGGCACAATCCAAACAAGAGGAGAAGGGTAGATTATGCTGGGTGACAGTGGGAATGGAGAGAAATGAATGCATTGGGGATACAGTTTAGGGGTAGGGTTAGAATTTTGTGACAAAGGTACAATATTGCTCAGGGTTCCTGTCTTTTCCTCATATTCAGTTGAGATGGATGTTTTTTAGGACATGTAAACGAATTTACTTATTGATTTAATAACAATGTGGTAAAAGCTAATTAGGCTAGCCTTCTATTTACTATAATTTACCACTGAAGAGGAAATTCACTATGTTTAGAATGATAATTTTTGTATTTGGAGTCCTGTGGTCATTGTTAAAACCTAAATTGCCCTTTTAAAGCACTGCAACATTAAATTTTATTCAACAGTTTCTAATGTTTAAATCCTTTAAAAAATTATCTATGTATTGTATACTTTCATCAGAATTTATGACTAATCAGAATATTCTGTTTCACACCTAAACCAGTAAATTCTGTTCATCATAGAAGCAATTTTTAGATTATGCTTATCACTGCTTCTTTACAAGTGTGAAGAAAAATAGTGGTGCTATTTGTATTTTAAAGAAAGATAGGAAGCAAAAACAACAAAACGTTAACAGTGATTATCTGTGGATGGTGGGGATTATGTGTGATTTGTTTCTCCTTTCTTCCTTTTGGTATATTCCAATTTTCCTACAATGACACGAGTTACTTTTAAATTCATGAGGTTTTTTTTTAAAGTTTATTATATGTAGTAAGTTGCTATTGTCTACATTACTAAAATTCATGTGGGAAACTAACAAATGACACAGATATAGGCCATGTTTTAATTTTTTTTCCTTTAAAAAAATAGATTTACCGGAAACTTCCAGGATTTTTACGCACGCTTATGGATGCCCTGAGAAAAGACAAAATAGTCTTCCCTAATGATGAAAAGTAAGCTAATGATGAAAATATGTCATTACTATATCTGTGGGATTCTGGGAGGGGGTTAACTATCATGTGACTTACTGAATGGGTAGATGAGAATTTTTAGATGGGCTAACGTGTCCACAAATATTTAGTATTTGATATTTTTCCTCATGTCTGATTTTATAACTTCACCAATTCAGTACTTTCTCTGAAGTCGTAAAGGGAGTTGTAGATTTAGGGTCTATCAGAAATCAGGACCTTTTAAAAGGAGCTCTGGGGTCTAGCCTAACATTACTTGGTCTAATGACCAAAATTTGGCAGGTTAGCTCTTGCAGCTGGAGAACGTAAGAGTGCCTCCAAATGGGCCGTTGTTATCAGTCCTTTCTCTATGTCAGCACAACTGAGGGATCTAACCTTCCCAGGAGTAACAGTGAGTCACTGGGATGGGGTAGATGAGTATCAGAATTTGGGGAGTACTGTTTGAGAAAGTTGCTAGAGTGAGGAACAAGTCTTTTTCCTGCTGTAGCCTTTCTGAATTACTAAATCAGGAGGTTGACCAGGAAGCTGATTAAACTTGTTGATCACGTGTCCATCTGTACATTTATGGGGGAAAGTAAAACATTGCTACAAAGAGTTCTCTTTAGTCCTGTGGTGGTTCTTGTTATTTTTGGGTTTTGAGTTGTTTTATTTTCTTTTATATGGTCTTTTAATTAAAATATTCCAGAAATTATGAAATAAGGTAGAATAAAGAAGATTAGGTCCTTTTAAGTATAAAAATTCAGTGTTTTTAGTATTTTTCTTCTTCATTATTTTAAAAAATCACATAGAAATAAGTTAAATTAATTAAATACTTAATTAAATTGTCTGAGTAAACAGAAGAGAGATAATCTTGCCTGGAAAGAAACAGTTACTATATGAAGTTTATTATGTACAAAGTTGTGGTTCCTGGGAGAGAAGGAAAGAGAGATCCTGTATTTTAAGGCAAACCTCAAGACTGTTCTTCTACTTGTCCCTAGTGTTAAATCCCTGTCTTCTCCCCTTCTCATCATACATGGTGAGGATGACAACACGGTGCCTTTGGAGTTTGGAAAAAAGGTAAACTAAGCCCAGTGCTGACTGAAACATGCCATGCTTATTTCACTATTCTCTCATCTAGCCACAGTCTGATTAGAGCCCACAGGAGGGTCTCTGACATTACGAGGGACTCTCTCCACCCCTAAATAGCCATGCTGCCTGGCATATACAAGAAGCATTAGTGTGCTGTGCTACTTAGCTGAAGGTGTGTTTGTGGTGGACCCTGGTTCCTCTTCCATGCATCTGCAGGTATAGAAAGATCCCAGGCCGCTATGGGAACCTCCATATAGTCTCTCCCACGGCAGCTCTAAAAATGGGATGTCAATAAACAGAGATGGTCTGTTGCAGTTCCTGTCCCCATGCAGGGAGGGTGTTGGCAGAGAAGGATGACGACCCGTCAGTGTTCCGCGTGAGCTGTGCAGCTTTCAGTTCCTCAGTTGTAGAGGCAACCAGCTGGGGGGAGGGAGTGGAGACTCCCTTGTCTCTGACTTAATGGGACTACCTCCCCAAGATGGCTGCTTCTGTACCCTCTTAGGAAAATTAAACTAGAAAAACACCACCTCTGATTGTCAGCCTTTGAGTCTCGGTCTTTCTGTCCCGTGCAGCTCTATGAAATTGCACATAATGCATACAGGAACAAAGAGAGGGTCAAGATGGTGATCTTTCCTCCTGGTTTCCAACACAACTTGCTCTGTAAAAGCCCCATGCTGTTAAAAACTGTGAGGTAAGAGTTGCTTTACTAAATGTGATTATCTTTCCCTTCAAGGCAATTAGGGCTGCTCTGGCTTACTTAGACAAGGAAGTAGAGAAGGCATGTGAGCTGACCTAGGTCCTTTTTTTTTTTGCAGAGATTTCCTGAGCAAGCAGTGGGCATGAGGGCTGAGAGGGATGGAAATCTACAGTGAAGACTTGGTCTGAACACCACCGATGATATGTATTTTTTATGGGAAACTGCACCGGGCTGCTTGGATGAGCTGAAGTCATTGACATTTCTACAAGTCACCTGCCATTTTAGTAAGGAGAGAAAGCATGGATGCTAGGTGTTATTGAAAGTTCTCATTTAGCTTATCTCAGTTTACTTTGTGGAACAAACTGAAACCTCACTGTAGAGAATCAGAATTTGGTAAAATTTGGATCCCATCTAAAAATGTGCAGTAATTATTAAACATGCTGGGGATATTTATGAATAAGGTGGTCTGTGGTTGGGACTTAAAAGTGTAGGAAAGGTGCTCCGATGTAGTTAAATACCTTGTTTTAGTTTAGTAAATTTAAATGGAATTAAAACATTTCAAGTATTTTCTAGCTTTTTGAATAGCACTGGGAAAAGTTCTAGCATGCTACTCAATCTGCCATCAAATAACAAGTTTTGGCACTCATGCAGCCCTTGTAAATTGACACTTTATTTTTAGCCCTAATACAGTCTTATACTTTCTTCCCAATGCCCAGAAATTCTTAATTAGATTATTTGCTAACAAAACAAAACAAAATCAAAGAATGTGTAAAAGTGTTTAAATCCAGTAAGAAGCTATTTTTTTTCTAGAGACATTTTACAACTTACTTTCCATTGGCTTTGTTCACCCCATTGCTAGATTCACTGGATAGGGAAATCTTGAGATCTGAAGGCTCCATGTTCCAAATGTCCCTGGCGTATTCCTTAATTGTTCGGTCACTAGAGAATTTCCCTGCAGCAGCTATGTTTTTGAGTACCATTGTGTTCCAGGCCTTTGGATTCTGTAAACAACACATACATATATATGGCCCACAGCCTGAATGCCCATCAAACTTTATGACAAACGCTAGGCCAAGTATACCCAAGCACATTTCATGGAGAAAATGACAAGAGTAAGTTGTAGTGAATCATAAATATATTTCTTTCACGGCTGAGAGCTAGATAGGGCAGATTGTGCTTTTTTCCTATTTAGAATATATTTAAGAGTGAAAAAAAAGTATTTTTCATTTTAAGAGAAATCATGGATATAAATTCCCTAATTGGTAATTGTTGCTATGGTTACAGTGTTCTGGCATGCAAGCCATATTTCCCATGCTTTTATTTTTTATTTCACCTCCCTTTAGACAGAACATTCATTGTTTGCTAGATGCCATGTCAAGAGATTTAACCTGTGGCTGACATCATAGTTTGAAAAACTCTACTCTAGAATGACAGCTATCATGCAGCAAATAATCTAATGAGAGAATGTATTGACCTCCTTCTCTTTTTTTGTTCTTTCTGAAGGAAGATGCTCCAGTAGATTTATACTGAATCCCAAATGTTCCATTGGGATTTCAAAACAGGATCAATTAAGGCCTTATCCTTAATAAAAATATATAATATCCAAATTTTATAATTTTTATCCAAAAGAATACAAGAAGCTATTTATTTTACACTCTCATGATATTGTAAAGAACTCTGAAAGTTCATTAAAAATGACCAGAGCATGACTCAAAGCCATTAGCAATGTATCATAAGCATTTAGAAGAAAAACTAAAACTTCCATTATTCCACAAGTACTGCAAAACAGAGTCTAAAATCAGTTTATTCAGACTTTGAAAACTTACTAAAATAAGAGGAAAATAAAAACCTCCTTTTTTTACTTTTTTAAACTATTTAAACTTATAATGAATAGACTTCCCAACATGTTTCTACGCCTAACAATATGATTATTGTTAAGAGTAAAAACTGCAATTTGTACAAATGAACAAGAAAGACTGAACCAAATGCAGGGCTTTGAGATAGGCATCTTTGGATACGGGCCAGAACATTAGCAAAGAGATCCATTGTGCAAAACTGACATTCACATCTGTCCTTGCCCTTGTTCATATTTTCCTGTCTTGCTCTATTTATATTTATTTTCCTCTGTAGCCATTCTACACATAGCATGAGTTGAGATCAAGAGGAAAGAGCCTGAGTTGGCCACTTTCTTTCGCCTGTTTTGAGTTCTTGGAGGCAGGTAGTGAGCCACTCAGCTTAAGGACTGCCCTTCCTTGCTTAGAGCCATTAGCTGGAATTTACTGTGGTCTATACATTTTTGGGGGACTGGATATGATTCTACCAGAAGATAAGGTCTGTAAAGCAGCATGGGCTTTGATCTTATTTTAAAACCCTAATGGGACCCATGGGATAACTGTAGGAACTCCCTGTCACCTGTTTTGGGAAAGGAATAGAAAGAAATGTTAGTGAAGCATGTTTTTGTTGAAGTAGTCAGTCATGTGTCCAAAGGGCAGGAGAAAATTCTATGGAAACTTGCTCTTCTGCTGTATAAAGGCTTTCGAATTAAAGGGCAAAAATGGAGACTATATGAGCGAGGGAAACCATGCCCAGAAAGCTCAAGGGCATCAACCTCAAGAAAACCATCCTGGAGTCCTGGCACAGAGGCAGTCTCCTGTATCTACTCTTCTGTAGTTCCAGCAATTACTGAAAGTCTTTCTTATCAGAGATGATCAACCTCTCTATATTTACTAAATTTCCATTTTTATTAGCATTTACTAAATGCTCCTAGAGGGCTAGGCTATTTGAAGATGTATAACCTTGCATGTGGAGGGTTACTCACATGGCTCTAGCTTTTTTTTTTTTTTCTTTTTAATAAAGCCCAGTCTTTCTTGTTCCTTTCTTTTCCTTTTTAAAATTCAAACATGAAACCTCCCCTCTTTCTATATATTTGTATCGTACAGATAGCCTCACTCCATGGGTAGTCCAGGAGAGGTACTTACTGTGCAATTTTCCTGGACTAGGGGTCAGTCCTTGCCCTAATTAACTGAGGCTCAGCCTGAGAATCATCTTAACAAGTTTTCAGACACTGATGGTGATCCCACCCACTACTGGGTCACCATCTCTCAGAGCGGGGCTGGCAGCCGTGTTTTGGAGAAGTTGCTCCCGGT